CTTCCAATGCGCTATCCATACTATCCCTGTCCCCATAAAATTCAATTTTATAATCATTGGTTAATTGAATAAATCTGATAAGGGTCAAAAATAAGTCATTCATAGCCAACGTTTCACCAGGGCATATACGGCGACCGTAACTAAATGGTATATAAGCCGCGGGTTTGTTGGTTAAAAATTTACCCTCGTTGTCAAACCACCGTTCAGGTATAAACTTATCCGGATTATCCCAGTGAGCCTTGTCCGTTAATATGCAGTATTGGTGTAACACTACACGTGTGTTTGCCGGTATAACATATTTGCCTGGTGATTAAATAAAAATAATATTATTTTAAACTAACAAAAATAAATTAATATTAGTATTTATGTAATTAATAATTAAATTTAATAATATAAATTTTTAAGAATGTCCACTTGATATTTAACAAAATTATAAATAATATTTGAGTTGAAACTAGCTAGAATATTTATAAAATTTTTATAATACAATTATCCGTAATAGTGGTACTATAAATAATTTTTAAATTTTTTATACATAATTATCAGAATTATAGACAGTTTTAATTTTTATAATTTTTATTTAAAACTGCTAAAACACTTAATATTTTTTTTATTAATTAATCATGCATACTGTTTAAAATTCAATTATAATAAAATAAATAATTACAATTACCTAGTTTACAATCTACTAATGCTTTATGAAAGACACCAATTGGGGTTGGGTTTCTTAATCTCAAAATTTCGGATACGCATGCCATCACGTAATTTAACCTTGGTTTATCATCGACTGTAGGCACCTTATTGCCAATCACATGTTTAATCTCATCACGCAACTTTTGTTGGTACTCCGGGTAATAAGCCATGAATAGTAACATCCACTGAAACGCCGTATGAGTGGTCTCAACACCAGCTGTAAATAAAAACATATAAATGGTCATGGTTAATTAAAATTATTATTAAATTTATTTATGGTGGTGCCAACGTGTAGGAAATTATTTTAAAAAGTAATTATATCTAAATAATTTTTTTAATTAATATTACCTACTCTATACATAAATAAAACTATCAATAACAATTTAATAAATGCTTAGGCATAAAGTCAAAGTATACGTACTTATTGTTTTTCCCACAATTTAATTTTAAAATTTCATGTAATGTAAAATTTTAAATAAAAAATCTGAATGTTAATTTAAAAATAGATTACCCATAAAAAGGTCATTCATAGACGCAGCTAGATTGTCATCGGTATAATAAGGTGCAGTTAACTTATCCTGTTCAACTGCCTCGTGTTTAGCCTTAATAAGTGTGTCGCAAAAATCGCGTTTAACACCCTTATTGTAGGTGCTATTATGGGATGCATAAATGTCCATGGTGTATTTCATCATTTCATCTTTATACTTTGCGTACTTTATTAATGGATTTCGCATAAACCAACGTATAATAGGCACAAACTCATATAGAAATAGCCAGTTACCGAGGTCAGTTTGGAAATCTGTGGTACAGTATTTAAACTTTTTAAACTCATCTTGCTCAACGTCGAACCTATTATATTGATTGTATAATGTGTATTTAATAAATCAGAGAAATATATTTGTAATTATATATTATTTTATATTTGTTCATAGTCAAGCATTTAGGGACATAAAATAACTTTTATCCATTTATAAGTCTAGTATCACATAGGTGATATGCACATACTTTTGACTATACACAGCAGTACCGGTGATATTGGCGAACATGTTATAAATGTATAGTTTGGGCGCAAACGGCTTATTGAGACCCTGTTTATCCATAATTAGGTCAATTGCCTCCCGGACCCCCTGGTCCACAACTTTTGATAAATCATCGCTTTTGGCGTATTTTCTATATATTTATTTATTTAGAAAAGATTTTAAATAAATATATTTTAATGCGTATATAACCTGGGTGCATAAATATATACCGTATAGCAGTGTGCGATACTCGCCGTAAACTTTCCCACGAGTGCCCGTAATCGTTGAATATAATATCATTATGGCCCTCATTATTATATAAATCACCTATGTATGATATATGAAATCAGTCAGTTATTTATTAAAGTGTAATGTGTAATTGANGGCCAATATAACCAGGTCATTTATAGTTAATGTTTAATTAATATGAAGTATTAGTGTAACACTACAATCGGTTTCTCAAATATGTTGAGTTTGCCTGGTAATTTAATAATAATTCATTAAGTTCACAAAAAAATAATCATTGTATCCACCAAGAATTAAACAAATTTAATTAATTAATGATGTTAATATTGGGAATAAATTGTTTGTTTGTATAATTTCAATGTAATTTTACAAATAATTAACTAGATATTATTATATAATAAAATAATATAAAATTATTGTAGTGATGTAATTAATATTTTTATTTTCATAAGTTCATTTTATAATATATTAATTTAAATATAAAATTATCATGAAAATAATTAACGTAAAATATTTTTTATATGTGCTATAATAATTACTATAACTCACAATGTTTATGAACCACCTTAGCACATTATTTTCATAACAAATTACTTTGATTTTAATATTATCTGAAATTGTTTGGGGAACTGTAGCCACAAATTAATAGGATCCGCTTCCAATGCGCTATCCATACTATCCCTGTCCCCATAAAATTCAATTTTATAATCATTGGTTAATTGAATAAATCTGATAAGGGTCAAAAATAAGTCATTCATAGCCAACGTTTCACCAGGGCATATACGGCGACCGTAACTAAATGGTATATAAGCCGCGGGTTTGTTGGTTAAAAATTTACCCTCGTTGTCAAACCACCGTTCAGGTATAAACTTATCCGGATTATCCCAGTGAGCCTTGTCCGTTAATATGCAGTATTGGTGTAACACTACACGTGTGTTTGCCGGTATAACATATTTGCCTGGTGATTAAATAAAAATAATATTATTTTAAACTAACAAAAATAAATTAATATTAGTATTTATGTAATTAATAATTAAATTTAATAATATAAATTTTTAAGAATGTCCACTTGATATTTAACAAAATTATAAATAATATTTGAGTTGAAACTAGCTAGAATATTTATAAAATTTTTATAATACAATTATCCGTAATAGTGGTACTATAAATAATTTTTAAATTTTTTATACATAATTATCAGAATTATAGACAGTTTTAATTTTTATAATTTTTATTTAAAACTGCTAAAACACTTAATATTTTTTTTATTAATTAATCATGCATACTGTTTAAAATTCAATTATAATAAAATAAATAATTACAATTACCTAGTTTACAATCTACTAATGCTTTATGAAAGACACCAATTGGGGTTGGGTTTCTTAATCTCAAAATTTCGGATACGCATGCCATCACGTAATTTAACCTTGGTTTATCATCGACTGTAGGCACCTTATTGCCAATCACATGTTTAATCTCATCACGCAACTTTTGTTGGTACTCCGGGTAATAAGCCATGAATAGTAACATCCACTGAAACGCCGTATGAGTGGTCTCAACACCAGCTGTAAATAAAAACATATAAATGGTCATGGTTAATTAAAATTATTATTAAATTTATTTATGGTGGTGCCAACGTGTAGGAAATTATTTTAAAAAGTAATTATATCTAAATAATTTTTTTAATTAATATTACCTACTCTATACATAAATAAAACTATCAATAACAATTTAATAAATGCTTAGGCATAAAGTCAAAGTATACGTACTTATTGTTTTTCCCACAATTTAATTTTAAAATTTCATGTAATGTAAAATTTTAAATAAAAAATCTGAATGTTAATTTAAAAATAGATTACCCATAAAAAGGTCATTCATAGACGCAGCTAGATTGTCATCGGTATAATAAGGTGCAGTTAACTTATCCTGTTCAACTGCCTCGTGTTTAGCCTTAATAAGTGTGTCGCAAAAATCGCGTTTAACACCCTTATTGTAGGTGCTATTATGGGATGCATAAATGTCCATGGTGTATTTCATCATTTCATCTTTATACTTTGCGTACTTTATTAATGGATTTCGCATAAACCAACGTATAATAGGCACAAACTCATATAGAAATAGCCAGTTACCGAGGTCAGTTTGGAAATCTGTGGTACAGTATTTAAACTTTTTAAACTCATCTTGCTCAACGTCGAACCTATTATATTGATTGTATAATGTGTATTTAATAAATCAGAGAAATATATTTGTAATTATATATTATTTTATATTTGTTCATAGTCAAGCATTTAGGGACATAAAATAACTTTTATCCATTTATAAGTCTAGTATCACATAGGTGATATGCACATACTTTTGACTATACACAGCAGTACCGGTGATATTGGCGAACATGTTATAAATGTATAGTTTGGGCGCAAACGGCTTATTGAGACCCTGTTTATCCATAATTAGGTCAATTGCCTCCCGGACCCCCTGGTCCACAACTTTTGATAAATCATCGCTTTTGGCGTATTTTCTATATATTTATTTATTTAGAAAAGATTTTAAATAAATATATTTTAATGCGTATATAACCTGGGTGCATAAATATATACCGTATAGCAGTG